TTTGCTAATACGCTTCCGCCTGATGCCTTTGATTAGAATTTTCCCTCCCTCTACTGTTTTTTTCCCTTGCAGGGAATGCTTTAATTTTATTTTTTAAGTGAAGAAAAGGCAAGGCAAGAGATCGAGCAAACAGTGTATTATTGGGACCAAATTTGGCATGTCATCTTCTGCAAAATTTCTGATAACGATACTTCTCACTTTTCCGAGGATCGAAATTTGCACCCATTTTTCGATTTTCCTTGCCTGACTAATATCGATATTGCTTTTTCCGTGCTTCTGGTTGATTTCGATTGCTTACGACTGGATTAATATCTACATTTTTGATTTTTACGACTATCCTTATTTCGAGCCATATTCCAATCATTTTTCATATTCCTAATTGTAGCCATTCCATCGTGCAAAACTGTTAAAAACACGCACTGACCGGACTGGCAACCATATGTTTTTACAGTGAAAAATGTTGATTCTCCCCTAGCGTGGTTTGATTTTTTCCAATTAATCTCTCAGCAGAAATTTGGATAATACCATGTTTTTCCTTTAGCGTCTGCGACTACATACGAAGCCAAAAACCGAAGTAAACTAATTTCTGGCAAATTTATTTCGAACTCTGGCAAATTTTCAAAACCCTAAAATTTCCCGGAAAATTTTCCTTGTGTATGAGGCCGGGAGCTCGGAACCACTACACTGTCATGCAAGCATTTTGCATCATGTCTTACCAGTCATGCTCAAAGCAATATTAGTTTCAATGAATGCTTGGCAAAAATTGCTTTGCTAATTATGCTTAGCAATTGCATTTGCAGATGAAAACGCGGAAAAAAATCAAAAAATCAATGCAGTAACTGGTAATTTCTGGTGCTAAAATTTGGCTTGTATTTCCTAGGAAACAAAATGTGGGAAAAAGCTTAAATTGATACATGGGAGCTTTGGCCCGCATTTTCGCAAGTCTTTTTTGCAGAACAGTTTTATGTTTCTGCATTTTCCCAGCACCTACTGATATTGAATCATTTTTTCGGTTTCCTTTTGCTTTCAAATCGCTGTTTTCAAAAAATTTCGGTTTCTTCGCTAAAATTGTGCAAAAATGCATAGGCGGAAGTAAAATTTGTTGCTCTGAGATATGCTAATGGCTTTATTCAGACGCATTTTGCACGACTGCTCATTTCATTGCGTCACTGTTGCTTTTGGCCGAATATGTTTAATATAGCTGAGTGAAAAAGAAGAAGTAAAAAAAAAAGACCTTTTTGCGTATGCAAAAGAAAGTTCTGTTAGCAGTCTCCGCTCTCTCTCTCTAATATCTCGAGAGGAGCTTTGCAACCATGGCTAGCCAAAATGCTTCAATGACAACCGTTGTGGTAATTTGAGTATTCTGCGTTAGTTTTGCTACTGAGGTGTTTATGAGAGTCGAGAGCAGCTGTACCGCGGCCCTTATTCCTGAGCCTCATGCTTTTAGCTAATATCCATCGCCTGTTTTCTGCATGTGCGCCATTTTTCCTGACATCCTATTCCTTGTCAAATTTGCATTTTTCGATGGACAACCGGTCACCGATAACTACTTATCTTTTTTCTTGCAAAATTTACCGTAATAATGCATGCTGATGTATGAATTTCACGCGGCCCCCTGACTGCAACACTACTTTCCCAGCCGACGCCTTTTTTCCTCTACATGCAAAGTGTTAAAATACACCCAACATGAGTGCGTGTATGTTGTCAACGATCTGACTTACTTCAAGCGCAAAAACTCACGATTCTACTGGCAAAATAGCATGCATTCTTTGAATGCACTACGTTCCGAGCGTGCACGCAAATTTTCCTCCCGCCTGTCGTGAATCATTTACCGAAATTCATCAAAATTACAAGCTTAGCATTAAGTTTTACTTGTTTTGAACTTATCTATAAGTATTAGAACTTTCTGGCCGATTTGATCGGCGAAGTTGATTGGCGATACGGACCGGATACCTGCATACATACAAGTGCACATACATACCTATAAATATACAAATGTACATAAATTCTCACGTACATACATGCATAACATACACACATACAAGCATATATACACACACACTTACATACATAAGTGCATAC